TGTGACCCCCAGCCCCACTCCAGCCGCCAGCAGGGAGCCCCCCACTCACACTGGTCCCCTTTTGGGGCCACAGCCTGTGGGACCCTCCCCTGATCCAGAGCTGAGCCCCCCAAGCTGCTGCTGCTGAGACCCTGGGGGTTAAGCCCCCCTCCCCCCCCAGCTGTGCCCACAGTTCTTGATGGCCCGTCAATTAGTGACACTGACAGGCTTCTGGTTATTGTCCTCGTTAAAGATAATTGGCCATGTTTGATGTCTCTGTGTTTGCCTCCCTCCCTTTCCTTCTCATTTCAGCAGCAGAAATCACCATCCTCTCCCTCCATCCCAGCCGACAGGTGGGACTAGCCAGGACTGTCCCCATCGCCACCTCCCATTTCATTTGTCAACCAGGTGTGTCCCTGGGTGTCCTTGTTGGTGGCTCCTTTGACCAGAGACCCTCAGAGGAGCTGCTGCTCTCCATCCACACCCCCTTCCACCACCAAAGCCCCACCAAGGCTGGAGATCCCAGCTGCAGCCCCCCCAAGGAGTCCGGTCTCCCCTCAGGATGTTAGGAGGTGCCTTTGGACGGATGCAACCCGTGCGCATTATCCCGGTGTGGGCACGTTCCCTCCCTAATCATTATATTTTATTTACTCTGAGCGCACATCAAATCATCCACAACAATTCTTGCTGCAGAGCGGTGACAGCTCAGAGCCGGGTCTGTGGACACTGGTGCTGTTTCCCCTGTCCATACCTCTTTACCTGCCCTGAGTGTGATCTGACGGTTTCATTCCCATCCCTGCGTGGTGCTCAATCTTCCCGTGGTTTTTGCAGCTGGCGCTTCTCTTTGCAGAGCTGAATAATTGAATGCTATATGCTCCTCCGCTGTTCCAGCACTTCCCAGCCCATGTCTGCACATGTCGAACAGCCCGGGTCCCAGCGTGGGTCCCTCTGTGCCCCACTGGTGACTCACCGAGAAGAGGGCTCGTGCTTTCTTCTCTTTTCTCTCCTTTGACCGTTTGCATCCGTGACACCCCAGCAGCAGCTGCTGCGGTTTAACTGCAGAAATCCTCCCTGCTCTTTCCCCACAGCCTCGTTCTCATGGAAAGCAGCAAATCTTTGCTCCCTAATTGGCTTCTCCATGTCATTTATGGTTTTATTCCTCTTCTACATCCCTGCTCAGAACATGCCCTTCCTCCTGGCCGCTGAGGACACCGTTGTCCCCTCTCCATCCCCACACAGCTCCTGCCCCATACATCGTCTGCATGCTCCCCCTGCCCGGCTCCCCGCAGCTGGGATTTCCGTCCAGGTTCTCTGTTGGTGTATTTCTGGCTCGACCCGACTCTAACCCCCCTGATAACAGCCCCACGCTGATAGCAGCCCCAGCATGCCCTCCTCTACTGCTCCCGCGCATTTCATCCTTTGCCGTCACCGCACCCTCCCAGTGAGTGTCCTCCCATGGCGTGCCAGGGCTTTGTTGAAGTTGTTTGGCATTCCAGCTCCTCAGCCCAATATATTATCTTGGTTCTCTACTCTTTTTTCTGGTTCTGGGTTTTTTCATGTGTTTTTTTGTTTGTGGGGTTTTTTTTGGTTTTTGGTTTTTGGTTTTGTTTTGTTTTGTTTTTAACAGGATTCTGCTACTTTAAACTGCTCTTCCCTTTCCCTTTTCTCCACGCTGGTTTTTACCACATTTGAACAGTGCAAGTTTGGCCTCTCCTTTGCTTGGAGATGCAAAACTTTTCTGATGACATTTCTTCAGCCCCATTTTATGAACTCATGTCTATACTCTCTGACCTCCACGTGGTACCCAGACCATTTCAGGGAAGGCTGCCACAGAGGACCTGGCGTTTATCTTCCTGCCTGAAGCTGACACGTTAACGCCAGAACCTCTTTCCTTCATCTTCCTTTGTGTGGGTCCCACAGTCACTGTCTCCTCCCCAACACCTATAGAATCATAGAATCCCAAGCAGTCCTCCTCCCTTTCCTGTTCTCAACATGAGGCCAGCTTTTTCTGTGTCTCCAGAGCCACAAGGTGATAACGGCCAAGCTTTGGGGAGCCGACTGTTGGCAGATGTGGCCTGAGAGCAGGAGACCGATAACCTCAGAACGCCATGAGGTTTCCTCTCGGTTCCTTTTCTCTTGTGTATCCTGGTGGATATATAAAAAATAAGCCCCTGGCTTTCAGTGCAGTTGAATCAAGTGTATGAGACCAAAGATCCCATCAAGAAATGGCCTTGCAGGGGTTACGCTTGGTGAAACATGGGACAGCGCTCAGGAAGAGCTTATCACCAGAAAAGAGACCTGGGGAAGTGGAAGGAGTAACCAGAACTGGAGAGCTGCAGGTGTCTATCCTGCTCCGCAGGGACTGCCAGGTCTCTGTGGCTTTGCTAACAGGGCACGAGCTCATGAGCAAGAGGACTGGGAGATGGGACATTTGGAGATCAGGTGAAAAACGAGTTGGGTGTTGAAAGGTGTGGGACTAGAGACTCAGAGGAGACAGTTCAAGGGCAAGGAGCATGTGCAGGAATACAGCCAGGATGGAGCAGAACAAGAGCCTGTTCAGCCGGTAGCGAGACCTTGTACACTGCAGTGGGTGACAGGTCTCCAAGACCTGGAGATGGCAGAAGGCTGGAGGGTGCCAACAACACATCTTGGCCATTCACCCTGGTTTTGGCTAATGCACTTTCTAATCCATTTCCAGGAAAGAGCAGAAGTCTGGAGGACCAATATGAAGCCCCTTGGTTGACATGGCAGCCCGAGTCACCGAGGCCATCTGGAGACGGCATCACCACGTCTGCAGGTTGGTGCAGGAGGAGGATGAACTAACCCCAGTGCAGAGCGTGGTGAGGCCCAAGAGCTGTAAAACATCCCTGTCACACTCTGGGTAACCCTGTTAAACTTTGAGTAAATTGTGGCATTTCTGGTTCTTCCCCACGTTCACAATGCAGATGGCAGTGGGACAGTCACGGTTACACCAGCCCAGGGCAAGGTCCATGTCTCCAGATGGTGGTGGGACGGTTGGGGTTAGACAAGCCCAGAGCAAGGTCCGTGTCGCACTGCTGCAGTGCCAGCATGTGCACAAAGTGTGTAACAGCCGTGCCAGCCATACTGACACCTCCCTGATCCAGTCTTCTGTCTGCCGGTGACCTGCAGCTGAGGCACCTCCTGAGGCAGAGCTGTGGCTTTTTGTCTAACAGCCCTCGGTGAACTTCTTTCCCATTAATTTGTCACACTGCCTTTTGAGCTCATGCAAATCTTCAGGCTACGCAGCCGGTTATGGTAAGGAGTTCAACAAGCTGTGGCAACAAATCCATTTTCCAGGACATCAGTGGGTTAAGTAAGGCAAATAGCCCAAGGGAATGCATTTAAGGAGATCAAGTTTCCTTCTGTTAAACAGCAGTAGAGTTATTCAGCCCTGAGCTCAGCCCGGTTCTGGGACTGCCTCCCATCCAGGAGCATGGCACGAGGGCTGGGTCAGCCTGGGACATGGGATGGTAAAAGGAGCTGGGAAATGCACTAAGGCCATGGCCGGAGGGAACGGATGCTCCGCTGATGGCTCCCCTGACCGTGGATGGATGGACTAGAAACACAGCACGGCAGCAGGTGCTGCAGGCCCTCAGCTCATGCTCTTGCCCACATCATAGCTCTATAGAGGATCCAAGGAGAGTTAGAGAACTGAGGGATGGAAGCACAGCATGGGAGTGGATTGAGTGCATGGATCAGTGAGAGACCAAACCGCTCCAAGCTGAGGTGTATTCAGCCCAGACACCCCCAGAAAAACCAGACAGTCTGAGGCATTGAGAACACACCACACAGGTAACGAGTCCCACTCCATGAACACCTCACACCACCTCGACGTATTGCCTACATGGAAATAAGCTCTCCATGCAAAATTCAGGTGTGAAAACCTGCAGCTTGAATAACGCCCTGCAAATCTGCTAAGAAAAATTGTTCTTTGTGCACAAGAAAGACCAGAAAGATTAAAAATACCATTTTCACTACACCTCATCCACCACGGAAGATGTCCTTTCATTTAAACCTGGATGAAGAAAATGAAGACAACATATTTCACCAAAATGACCTGAGATAACCCAGGCTGATTCCTGTGTTCCTGAAATTCTAAGAAGAAAAAGACTGAACGTGCTATTCCACAATACACCAGGGAGGAACTTAAAAACTATAAGTGATGTGCGTAAATTGTGGTAAACAAAAAAGAATGACAAGGAAATAACCTGAACAGAATAAGATTTAAGAAAAAAAAAAGCTCAATTATTCACCAATGCAAAACAAAAACCAAAAAAAAAGCAAAAAAAATAACAATTACTTTCTGAAAACCTTAAGGAAATAAAGACCAGTGTCCGGGTCGGGCACGCAGCGTCGCAGGAGCTGCATGTAGGTGAGGTTCTCGTGGGTGTTGGGGTCGAAGAAGCCCTTGGTGTCGTCGCTGGGGTCGCAGAGAATCTGGTTCATCTCCTGGTCGAAGTAGCCGCGCCGGTAGGCCACCTCCACGGGGAGGCGGTGGCTGTGCACGGGGTCGATGATGCCGCCGGTGGCAATCTGGGCCTCCAGCAGGCGGACGCCGTGCTCCTTGACGATGAGGTCCTTCTGCATGGCCTGGAAGAGGGAGATCTGGTCGCCGGTGTAGGGGTCGGTGTAGCCCGTGACGGCCCTCTCGGCCGACAGCAGCTTCTCGTGCAGCTCGCTGCCCACCAGGCCACAGGAGACGGCCTCGTCCACAGAGAGCTTCTTGTTGGCCAGCGGGTCAACGAGGAAGCCGGTGGCAGCCTGCGCCTCCAGCAGCACCAGGGCCGTGCCCTGCCTCAGGATGCCCTTCCACATGGCCTGGTAGATGGTCATCTTCTCCATCTTGGCGGGGTCGGTCTTGGAGGGCACCAGCACGCCGGCGATGCAGCCCGTGCCGTCCAGGTAGCGCTTGACGGAGGCCATTTCTGTCACCTCCTGCACCGTCTTGGAGCCCTGGACCAGGTCGGCCAGCGTGTCCTTGTCAATGATGCCCGAGTCCAGCAGGTCCGAGGCGGTCACCTGCCTCCTGAGGCCTGTGAATTTCACGGTGCTGCTGCGCTGCACCGCCTCCTGGACGAGGACGCTGAGGAGCCTGGCCAGCTCGTCCAGCTCCAGGCTCCTGGCCCGCACCTTCCCCAGCAGTTCCTGCCTCTTTGCCTCGGAGACGTACTTGGAGAAGAGGAGCTCCCACAGGGAGACCATCCTGCCGTGGAAGCCGCCCGCCGAGACCTCCACGGTGCGGGACTTCAGGGACCGCTCCAGCTCCTGCTCCCACTCCTGCTCCCGCTCCTCCTTTTGGTCCTGCCGGGAGTCGGCGGCCTCGCCGTTCTCGGCTGACGGCGGGGCCTCCCGCTGCATGGGCTTGTGGGCCAGGGTGGCTCCGTGGCCCTGGCCCTCAGCCCCAGTGACGATGGCGGTGAGGATGGTGATCATCTC